TGACAATTAAGACGTGAGACTGATTCCATAAAAACCGTATACTTCAAAATTATTCTACAACTCTGCCATCCCTTTGAAAGTAGTCCCCTTGGGCAGCTATACAACGATTCCAGCGCGTTTTCCATGCATCGCTACATTTTTGCAACGCTGGATGTCCTCAATCGACTCAAAATGGGTTGCTTTTACCACCGATATTTTTCTAGGGAACAAAAAAAGTTACATGGTGACATATCGGATAAAAACTGTGACACGATGAGGGCGGTGTGGCACGGCGCGTTGTGGTGATGAAGGATCCAGTTAAGAGCGATGTCTGGGCGCACCTTGCTGGCTCGTTTTCACAATTTTCCGAGTACTTGGCGAAAGCAGACTTGATTTCCGGTTGGCCCCGGTAGAAGAAATTCTTTGTGGACAATTCCACGGCTATCATAAAAGCTAATAATCATCGTTTTCACCTTCGACTTGCGGAGACAGCCATTGTCAGCTTTACAATTTTACAATTACAATTTACAATTTTAGCGTGCGTTTTTGAATCGATTTTGCCCAAATTGGCGCAAAATTTTATCGCGACGCGTTGCTCTTGATCTCGTTTTTTCCATTTTCGTGATGAGCATCACGAACACACGTTTACTCAACTCGACACAGCAACCGAACTAAACAAGCTAGAACGATAGCAAATATATTCATGGAGAGGAGAAGCATGCCGGGAGAAGGGAAAGGCCGTTTCAAGGTCGCGGGGTTACCACAATCGCAGCAACATAATCCGTCTCATTGCTTAATTGTCACACCTCGTATAGTGAGTAGAGTTGTTCCAAAAGTAAAATTCAAATTGAAGTAAATTTCGACGAACGATGATGTTATGAGCGATTATCCGACATTATCCGATATTAAATCGGTATCGTGCTCGAAGGAAAAATTCGGCAGGGAAGGACAATCCCTCCGAGTGTATTTCTGATATGAAATAAAGAGCCCTTTAAAAAAACAATCACCCGTTAAAAGGCGGCTTAGTAAAAACTGTAGGTCCCTCTATTTGTTGGAAAAAACATCAAGACGAAAATTACAAATTGGAGGAGGAGCTCGGCCAAAAATAGTTTCAGCGTCAATCATATATATAATACAGATGACATTCCGTAGCGAGGGACGAACGCAATCAGAAAAATAAACTTGAAATTCCTTCCAGCTCAAGAACAACCTTAACAAGTTCACAATCGAAGATGACGAAATTCATTATTTTATTTATATCCCTATTTACTAATACGAGCCCTGGCCACTATTAATTCGCACGGCCAATGTTTTTACGCATATGCAATGTTTAGCACACAATACATACAAACATATATTTTTCTGAAAGATAATTTTATTCTCTATATGATAGAAAAAAAATCTTGTTGTTATTTAACGTACAACAACAACAGCATTTATTTACATACACTATACTTATTATTGTTTACAAACGCTTGACCACCATTATTTGGTACGCTACAAACTTTACAAACTTTACAGTCTATTTGGCTTAATATAATATATATACTGAATATTACGAGTAATACTTGGTAACATCACCCTTAGCCTCTATAACACATTTACAACGATCCTGCATTGAATTAAGCAGGTATTGGCACTGCTCTGTTAAAATAGAGTCCCATGTTTCTTGCATGCTGTTGTTGTTGTACGTTAAACAACAACAAAAATTGTTTTTCTATCAAATAGAGAATAAAATTATCTTTCAGAAAAATATATGTTTGTATGTGTTGTCTGCATTATCTTCACATATATTGTGTGCCAAACATTGCATATGCGTAAAAACACCAGCCGTGCGAATTAATAGGTGTCAGGGCTCGTACACCAACTTGTTCCGCAATTGGTACAATTAGGAACTACTGGAAAACTTTGGAAAATTACACGGCAATTACGAAGAATAATTTAATTCATTCATTTTCATTCTGGAGTTTTGCTTGTATAAAATTATTTCGTTTATGATGGAATACACTATCAGAAGATATATGGAATGCTGATGGGCAGTTTATTTTATACAGTGAAGCAAGCTGAACTTATTTTTACTAAAATGTTAGATAACTTGAAATATAATTCATAAATAACAATTGTAATATACATATGTATATAATATTATCCAATTAGAATGCGACCCTACGGGGATTCCTTAAAACTAATATTTGAGCAGCCTTTCTAAAAGCACAACGGTAGCTAACGCTCAAATTTAACCGATCGAGATTCACTCACTTGGATTTTAGATTTCAGGCGAAGTCTTTTCTAAAATAACAAAATATACCAAATAAATACTTTTTTCATTTCTATTCATTTTTAAAGAGAGAGCCGAGATTCGAGTTTGATTTAAGCTTCGGCAGTAGTTTGTATAAATGAACTATCATCAGCTGACCGTATCCTCCAATATCGTTAATCCTTAAACAGTTTATTTTTTATGCATTTAAGAATCTCCTACAAAATAAAATTGGCAAATTTATGGCATTTTGTATTATACAAAAATGCGAGATGCTTTTGGCTAAACAAATAAACGAATTTGTAAGCAAGCACAACTTAAGATCTCCGTTTCAATCAGGCTTCAGGAAAAATCACAGCTGTAGTACTGCGGTGCTAAAGATCACTGATGACATTCGATCCAACATGGATGAAAATAAATTCACCTTGTTTTGCCTACTTGACTTTTCAAAAGCATTTGATATGGTCAACCATGGGTTTTTAAGCTGTGCGTTGAAAGCGTACTATGGTTTTAGTTGAAGTGAAAAGCTACCCTGTTGACAGGTTTCAGTTAGTAAAAATTGGGGAAGACACATCGCAACTCAAGCCAGTTACTTCAGGGGTGCCTCAAGGCTCCATCCTTGGTCCCCTGCTTTTCAGCATATTTATTAATAACATGCACACACTAAAGTAAATTTTCAAACCTGCACGGTTATGCTGATGACATTCAGTTAGATTAATCTGCACCTTTTGATCAAGCTAAAGAGCTATGTAAAAGCAGTAATACTGACTTGCCTGATATCTCTAGCTGGGCGGCTGCCAGCGGTCTAATATCAAATAATAACAAGTGCCGCGTGCTGCCAATCAGTGCTAGAAAACTGACAAATATGGATTTTTCGTCCCCAATTGTCTATGAATGTCTATGTCTATGAATACAATTGTCCCTTAAAATTAGTCAGCAAGATTAAAAACTTAGGATACATTATTAACTCTAGTCTTTCATGCATGGATCATGTGAATACCATTGTTAGTAAGGTCTATCTGATTCGGAGGAATCTTAGGCAGTCAGCTATCTATACACCCACTGCTACCAGACGCCGCCTTGCTATAAAATTATTCTTCCGGTTATCATGTACTCTGAAGTGTTATGTTGTTATGTTTAATAATGTCACACGGTATGTGTTTGGTCTTTCCAAATATGAGCACATCTCGTCTTGGAAAGATCATAAAGCCAGAAATTGTATTTTTCTTTGCAAACTCATTATGACTCAATCTTCTAGCTATCTTTTTTATCAAGTTATCGTTTACTCGGTCCGCCAGAGTATGTAATATTAAAATACCTTTTCATAAATCACAGCAATCATCAAGGCTGTTCTTTGTCAATGCTAGTCGATTATGGAACTCTCTTCCTGCCAATTTAAGGAGGAAATTAAACAGAAGATATTTCAAGAACCACATATAAAAGCATTTTAAAGGCCAAATTTCCAACATAGACCATTAAATTTAAATTCTTGTCATACTCAGTTCATTTTATATTATTATTATTTTTGTTAATGTATCCGTAAAGTAATATTTACTTATTCTTCACACTATCTCTGTTGTACTAATAAAGATATGGAAATCTTATTGTACTAATGTTTTGTTATTATTATTAAATAAATAAATAAATAAAATAAAAATTATTGTAATGTAACAATGATGGTATTCTACATGAAAGGATGAAGATTTAAGCAAAACTTATTTTGCAACAATTTGTCACTATTGAAAATGAGTTTCTTTCCGCATTAGCCGGCAATATTAACTGAACGTTACTATAGAGTTTTTTCGATTTCGTTCTAAGTTTGCAATTTCCCCTCAAAACTCCAGTAATATTAGTAAGAGAGCCTTACCGAACGCGGTCTAGGTTCGTTACGATTCGCATCATCTTTGAAGAATTACGATCCAATGATTATCTGGATGCATTGGTAGCTCTTGCAATGTTTCTGGCCGATCTTCACTCCAAAATCGACAATTCTGCTTATTTACGCACCCATTTGGCCAAAAATGAGCTTCGAAGAGCGCGCGTAAGAAGTGCTCGTTGAACTTTCTTAACAGAGCAAGCATTTCGATTAATAAAGCACAATAATTTGCCAGCGTTGTTCGTTTGTAAGACGATTGATGGTTAAATTATAGACCAAGCTGACTGAAACGTGCGTCAGCTGTTTAAAGCAGTGTTGCCAAAAAGATAATAGCTAAAAGATCACCCTTTATATAAAATGCATTGTTAAAAAGATGAACAATCCAATAAAGTCTACATAACAACAACGAAGCGAGCGTTAGTAGTTAGAATAAGCGAACATAAGGCAGACACGAAAAATAAGAGTTACAACAGCGTTTACAAAATATATAGACGCCCTGAAGAAGGTATAGAATAAAATGTATCGGAACGCTTAGTATGCAGAAAAGAAAAACAAAAGTTTTTACTCCTATTTAATATACTTCTTTATAAAATGGATAACCTGCAGCTCGCCGAACACACTAATAACACCTGTAAAAATAAAAGCTGATTCACATAAAAGTTTTGCCTCATTTGACGTCAGAGTTGCGTTTTGACTGATATGTTCGAAATATGTAAATGTTTATATGAGTAAGAACAATAGTATACATGGAAAGCAGTCCAGGCAAGGTTTTATTACCCTTAAATATAGAAAAGTAAGTTCCATTTCTACTAAATAAATATTTTTCCTAATATAATAATAGTTTTTTGTTCTTATTAAATTATATAAGGAATACGACAATTATCTCACCAGTGTCTGGAAGGTTGAAAATGTCTTTGCAATTATTTACGAAGCAAATGTGACAGCTGCGACAAGAAAACGACTTGTCCGCTGTAAGGCTCTGAGCTCTACGTAAACAATTCGGGCGCTTCCAAACTTTTCTCTTTATCTTTTCTGTTTTATTTGGTTCTTTGCAGTCGCTATACCCTTGATTCAAAATCGTATCTTTATATATAGGTGCCAAATAGCTGACTGTGTCACAAATAATGCAGTGCCACGTAACGGAACTATTTTCAGATTCGCAGTTATTACAAATCCATCGCCTGTTTAATGACGGGTTGGAGAAATGATGATATAGCTCGATAGATGTTTTAACGTATTTCCGTGTATTTTCACAGTCGACACAATTTGATGAGAAATTTTTATTATTTCGTTGCGGCCTCCGCAGACACCCTCTGAGCATCGATTTATATACCCGCTTGTAATCATTTCTGAAAAGTGGATTATAGTATAATATAAGCACATACATATATCGTCACTTGCAATGCCACATACATATACGCAAAATCTGATATCAGATATATACATACATATATGGCGCTTGCCAAATCTTATAGAATGAAAGAACCAATTTTCGGCTTAATTAATAACTTATTCGATTTATATTGGAATCATAATACACATGTAATAATCCAACGAACAAGCTCTAAAAACAACTTATGTTTGTTCATGAAAAAAAATATAAAAATATATATATATATATATAAAATATATAAAAATATTTTTAATATTACTTTGTATAGGATTATACCGTCTATTTCCTGTCTTTGGTCAACAAAGGTATCATTCGCCTATTTTTTATTTAAATAGTAATCAATCAGGAACACATTCATTGACGTCGACAATTCACCTTCACTCATTTTGTAAACATTACGCAGATGACTTTTCGTCTGAAAATTCTGTTCCAGACAGCTTCATATAAGGTGTATTATAAGCACTAGATACTCGAGTATAGAGCAGTTTAAGCAGCTCGATAATCACTCAATGTTCGTTCATTACTCAACAGCTGAAATCTTTGTTTGAAATGTCGCAAGTTTAAATTTTCTTTGTCCAGATTTCTTTAGTATTTCAATAAATTTTACAGTTCGCATGAACAAATTTGAAATTGTAGAAATAGTTCTGAAAAGAGTCAAAACTTGTATCCAAAATCAAGGCAAATTTATAAAAAAGTGAAGTTGTCACATCAGATGATTGCTTGTTGCACCTTCCATTTCACCAAACTACACAAGCAAAATACATTGGTCGAATGTCATTTTTATTTTGGACTTGCAAAAACTACCTTAGGCCGGACCAACACCGTCTTCGCTTTACCCAGTATTGTTGAGTGAAACTCTTTTGTTAAATGGCGGCCTTTGGCCGCGCTTTTCATATAGCACTGGGTCGAGTGACTGAAACGCTTTTGCAAATTCGGCAAATTTACCAATTTATAGATATTTTTGTGTTCTTTTTAATTAATATTGCCTTATGTTGTATTCATTACACAAAATTTTAAGAAAAACTAAATTTTATATAATAAAAATAGTACTTTTTTGTTACTGGACGTTTTCCAAATTTGTCTTCGGTTTCGGATTTATAAAATTTGTTGTACAACTTTTTGAGATATAGCGTTATATAATTTTCGAAAACTCCTCCTAGAAGCAAGATTTCCGGGACTTTCATTTTAAAAATGGAGTGATCAGTGATTGAGTGTTAGAAGGATTCGGGGAATCGAGGCTTATTTAGCAAAATCATTACAATTCATACATATTGTATTCCAAGCCATGATTGTAAATTGGAAAATCTATTTATATATAATTAGCGCTTCTGTAACTTTGATTTTAGGCCGAAACGGTAGTCGTTTAGTTTTTTCACAAAACTAACTATACTAACACTATTATTATTTTCGTTGAATTCATCTTCATCCATTTATCATATTTGGTTTCCAAGTTTTATGATGGGATCCACTTTTCTATTTTAACCACTATTCGCTATTCGCATGATGATGATTGTGGTTGTTGTTGTTGTAGCGGTTCGGTATACGCATGATCAGATGTTTTCGTTAACTCTATGAATATTTTGAAGTTGAAGCAGATCAGGAAATAACCAAAATAAATATAATAAAAGCAAAAAGAAAACAATAATTAAAAAACGTTTTTGAATACTTAACATACGTTTTATTCCAACCGGATTAAGTTCACTTTGAGAAGTGTAATCGTTTAAAAATAATTAATGGAACTCTCCAGTTGATTCCAATTTTAGACATTATTTGGTATAAATGGTGTAAATCTAAGAGCCAGTTGCCCGTAGGTCGTTGTTCCATCGCTTAACAGACGTAATCAGCCATTCAATGTTTTTAGCAAAGATTAGATTCCCAAATACCCAAAGAGGGATGCAAGCTGCGAAGGAACTTTCGGCTTCATCAGCCTCACTACCTGCTGCTGGCACTATTGGCAATAACTTGGAGTGTGGTACGATTCATTTATATGGAGCTCTTTCACAATGCTGCATTTCTTAGCGTAGTTTGAAAAGTGGAAACCATAACTTATGTTTTTATTGACATTCGTTTATAAAGGTTTTTTTTCCTTAAAGTATCTGTAAAATGTTGACCTAATTCGAAGTGCTTTGCTGGAGTGCAAAGGGTTAACTGTGATATCATCAAATGGTGAGGATAGAGAAGCCTCAGTTACTGTAATCGAAACTTGAAGGTTACATTTTTTAGTTGTTACTCTGTAGATACCGCGGCTATTCTTCTGCCTTTTAGGTGGTCATCAAATTTAGAAATGATTTATTCAATTAAATTTGCCATCAAATTTAAAATATTCGTCGTTTACTTAGCAAGTTATCGAGTGGCTAACGACAACAGCAGATCAAGCAATAGCGTTTAGCGAATAGTTAAAAACCTCCCTACGTTTTTTTAACGTTAAAATAGTCACACCACAGACCTATCTACACCTACTAATGTTTGAATTCGTCTTAATAAAATTAATTTCTTCCTTCTTGATTGGTTTTATTTTCCTTATTCCTTTAATTATAAGATTCATGCTATTACAGAAAAAAATAATTTTAGTGTTTATAAGTATGTATGCATATCACTATCAATAAAAACGGAACATAATGCATCCTTTTCATTGATAGTGATACATCTCTCTAATAAATTTGGTAAGACATTACCTTTCTGAAGTGAAGGGGTAATGCAGATCGATTCTGCAAAATCAAACACAAACTCTCAACAAGAAAAGATGAATAAAAAAACAATTTAAAAATAAACTATTCTCTTATAATTGGTTTTGCAGAAAAAGCCAATAAGAAAATAACAGGCAAAAGAATGCTAAAGATGTTGTTGTTGTTTGTATATACATCAAAATTTTAATGTTGTTTTGGTTTGGCACTTAATCAGATTTATTACAAAATCTCCATTAGTGGATACGAAAATTACCTCCGGTGACATGACTCCACAACATATTTACTTCAATTGACGGGATTAATCCACTCTCACTCAATTGATTGATCATGAATGGAATTTCATCAAGCAGTATATGGCATATCCGGCTACAATTTCTAGGACACCATATTCTAAATCGTCCAGCTCCGTGTTCAAAAATGTTGCAATATCGCATTTAGATTAAAAAAAGATGAATTAGTACAATTCATTTAAATCAGAGAGTGAGAAAATGTCTGTTAAAATTGGGTGGTGATCTTCCAGGTCAGGGGTGTCACCCACTTCTGTATTTCCGTCAGAGGACACAGCGCCTTCATTATACCCAAAAATGCAGCTTCAAAGTCTAAGTCGGGATGTTCGTGTAAACTGCTATTAGCTCGTACGACTCAAAACTAATTTTTAATTACATCCCAGTTTAAGCGATTATTTCCTTTTCTTTGGCGATGGAACTGCTGCCATTCGTTCCTTATTTGTATCGGCGGGAAATGTGAATAAACTACACCTACTTTAGATTTAGTTTCACGACCAAATACTGAACACCTCATTTTAACACTTTTGGTTTAATATTTATTGTATAAATACAAATATAAAACGTAAAATAGCGAAACATTTCAATCAAGCGCTTTTAAGAGGTCATTTTGTTTCAAATAATATAGTCGCAGTGAAGGGGGTCAAACAGTTCTTAATTAAGGATAAATATAATCCAGGACTAAATTTTTGAATACCTATGGCGAAAATCAATTTTTAAAAAAATGATAGCGGATAAAACTGGAGAATAACCTTTGTTTATGCGAGTTGTACAGTTAGAAAACTGTGTGTTTATAAAAGATACAGTAAACTGTTGTTTGCAATAATTTACTATGTTTGGTACTTTTATTTAATAATTCAGTGATCGAGCTGGACGGATTTAGCAAATCATCTAAATTACTAAACACATCGTTACAATATAAAACGTGTTTGTATCGTTTTCACAACGAAAATATGAGAAATTAGATATAAATATGGTTTTGTTGTTGTAGCGGCTCGCTAACCCCGCTGAGGTGAAGGCTTGATCAATCTAAGTCGCCAAAGTCATCTAGTAGGAGGTCAAGGAAAAGTGCAGTTCCGACGGGATTGGACCAAAGGGAGAGGGGAGTTAGATGAGCCGGTTTAAGTGGGCATTTGAAGAGCTGGTAAGTGTCGTGCAGAGACTCTCCACATACAAAGCATACGTTGGATATGCTGGGGTTTAGTCAGGATAAGTAAGAGTTCAACCTCCCGCAATATCCAGGTCTAAGTTGTGTCAAGGTCACGGGGCAGCTCGAACTCGTTGTCTGCAATGGGTAGTGGTTTTACTCCGAGCACGCCAATCACTGGAAGGGAGTCTTTGAAGATGTTGACTGACTCCTGATGAATAGTGTTCAGGGCCTGTCTGTACGTCGTCCTGTCCAGTGGTTGTTGTACATATTGCTTGATGATGTTTTTCAAGTTTGGAACTCCAGCTTCTATTTGGTGATTATTGGGGTGCTCGCTGCGGTAACATCCCTATAATAACTGCTACTTAACTCGTAACATAGATGGTTCGCTGTACAAGTGATGCTCCGGCGACATCAGGAGGTTTCCTGTCGCAGTCCTGAGGGCGGTTTTCTGGCAAGCATGTAACTTCTTCATCTGGATCTCGTTCGTCCCCGGCGCCTAGATCGCCGCAGCACAGTTTACGACCGGCCGCCCAATCGCTTTGTTAGTTGCCAACAAAGTTTCGTGTAAAAACGAAAAGAAATTTATTTTGATAAGAACTTTAACTTTGCTATTTTCAAATGTTTTATCCTAACGATGGATATTTTGCACTTGACTTAAAATTTATCGTTACGATGCAATCATGGCATATAACGGTGTTTATGTAATCACAAACAAACCATGTTGCTACACTAACGGATATTATGGTCTCGAGGTCAATGTGTTAAACCTTAAATATCTGTTAAACATTAGGTCTACGGTGGGTGGTTTTAGTTTCTGAAAGCGGGAGCAACGCTCTATCCCCCAATTCCCAAACCCCCTGCGGGTTAGTGGATCAGGAATTTCCATGTAATAAGGCTTGTCATAAGAGATGTCTAAAATCCAATAGTTCCCACGACCGTTGGGTCTTTATACCGGAACTATCCAACTTTTATCCTGCCAAAGAATGTCACTCCTGCTATATTCCCCGAAAACCAACCCCAAATGGAAGTGGTTCTCTTAAAATATAACTACTAAAATATTTAATATTGCGTTAAAAACAAGTAGTAGTATAAGTTGGTAATAATACTGCGAGCCAGACATAGTTCTTGCTTGCTCAAAAGACGAAACAAAACTAAAATTCAAGTCAGAACCAAGCGCCTGCGCCAACAAGCACCGTTTTTGGCATTTCTACAAACAAAAATTAAGTGGACAAGATTTTTTAATATAATTGGTTTTTCTTAATTTTTTGGTTGAGTTTGTTGGATTTGTTTGTGAGAATCGATCTAATTTACCACTTCACTCCCAAAAGTTTATTCCTTACCATATTTTCTACAGGGTGGATCTGTAGCATATGCATAAGTACGCATACATAACACACGAGCAGAAGTAAACATTCCCCTTAGCATTAAATTGGTAAATAATCAATAACACCTGTCGCAAAGAAAATTTCTTAATTCGATTTTAGTTCTTTCATTTTTGAATTTTGTTTAAGGGCAATCAACCTACTTGGTTATGATATCATCATCCTCCGAAGAAATATTTAATGATGGCTCATTGTCCGAAAATGATCTTGACGGTGAAAATGTGTCTTTCCCTCTACAAGTATCTTTTTTAACCAGAATTCCAGAATTTTTCTGCACGTTATTTTTGTCTCCTATTCGTGTACTTGTCGATAAAATTCTTTGCATTTTGCCACAGTTTACGCATTTTTCAGGGTCGATATTATTACAATTCTCACATTTCCATTGTAGTACCGAAGCAATAGTGCCCATTTTTTTACCAACTCTGACAAATTGCCATCACATTCATAAGCACTTATGTATATGTAATACACTTCTATTAATTTTTTTTTAATATATATAAACTATATTTCAATATTTATTTTCCACATCTCAAACTCTTTGATCCTTAATAGAAACATGATATCAATTTATACGTCCTTTGAGACACAAAACCTATATGGACCAATTGAAATAAAACTCACCGCACAAGAACATAAAAGGGTGACATAGGTGCATTACAGAATTTTTTAAATGAAATAGAAAGTTTTTGAAATAGCTTGGTCCAGTATTTTGGTATTTAATTTACAAATTGAAAACCTTTAAAAAGCTAGTAGTATCTTCAGGTTATCAAAGAACGAGCTGGACAGATTTCTTGTAAACATTTGAATATGCATAAAATTAGTGCGCGTTGGGTACCGCGAATACTCACGCCGCTCGATAAGCAGCGTCGATTGGAGAGTTATAAAGATTTTTTGGAGTTGTGGCAGGATCATTTGGATGAAAATTTCAACCGCATTGTAACAGGAGGAAAAGACACCAAAAAAAATTTAAAGTGGAAAGTCGGGGGTCGAAGATTAAGACTACCATTTTCTGGGATAGCGAGGAAATATTTTTAATTGAATACTTGCCAAAGGGAACTACAACGAACGGAAATTATTACGCTAATTTATTGATTAAGGCGCGTAAGGCAGTCGTACGGAAGACACGTGGTAAGTTAGTGCGCGGGTTGCTGTTTCTTCAAGACAACGAACCCGTTCACACCGTGATGCAAAGAATGAATCAGAAGCTTCTGGATTTACAGTAATTTACTATTTATTCAATTTGAAAATGGAGCTACGAGGTTGAAGATTTGCCGATGGGTGTGAGAAACAAGTGGCCTTTTCGATGAGATTATCAGAGTATCTTTTGCGTTTAACTTGAGAGTACTATCGTTTTGTGCTTCAATATGGGCAAAATAAGATTTTTAAGAAGGATCTAGAGTTAAGCCCCATCTAGCCCAAGCTCTTCTGGGATGGGCTTGATCCTGGTATCTATATAAGGTTCGCCCTGAAAATTTGAAATGGCAGTCATAAAGGCTCAAGGGAAGTTTTGAAAAATCTTCTGGGGAAGTATGGATGAAAACTCAGAAACAAACAAAAGCTCAACTACTCCAAACTGTATCTTGCCAAAACGTAGTCCCACGTAGGACAAATTTGCCTTCTTCTCACATTAGTGAAAAATTCGGCTGCAAAAGAGTGGGATGGGTAATAAAATTTTTAGGACCCTGTAAATCTCCGGGATTGAATGGTATCTTTACTAAGGCAAAGAATAACCTATCCCCACTTCCATGAGAATTCTAGATAATCCCGCTATCCAAAGACTATATTCCTAAATGTAAGTCTCAAAAACATTCGGTTCATTATCCTGAGCTCGTTTCTTCTCATTTTTTTTTGAAGGAAGCAATTCGCCTACTGTTAAGGGAAGTCCGTCGGCACTGCACATCACAACATAGTTGGAGACACAGACGTAAGAGAGTACCCTTTGGGGTTTTCTTGGGAACCAGGATTATCTTCGTTGACAAGTGGTAACTCTCCAGGGAAGTTATATCTCGACCGCTATGAGACGTCGTATCATACGCCGACAATAATTCCCTAACAGCAAATATTTAGTTATTTATTCCAAAGTGCCTTACATACAGTAGAAAGTTAGTGTAGCGAAAACCGTTCTTTCACAAGGATATATAAATGCCAACGATTCTAAATCACTCAAAGTTTTGAGGCATTTCTGCCAATTTATTATAATTGTATTATACGCAAAAGTAGACGTTAATATTTTTCACTCACTTGGTGAACAGTATGTACAATTTTGATCAAAGGACACTACCCTGCGGAACACCTGTCCTTATTAGATACTCCTTTATTATATTCTTCTTCTTTGTATTCTTTTGCTGTTACAGTAAATCGCCCGTTGGAAAAGTAGGATTCAAGGATATTGTGGAATATTTCAGATAATGATTGTATAATTTTATGAATTAGACCATCATGCTACATTTCGACAAAAGCTTGGCGACATCAAGAACAACGGCCGGGCAATACTCTATGAAGTCGATTAATATGACACAGATAAGTTTGATATGATCATATCTGGGTTCCGAGCCTAAGAACAGTGCATCTTGGAACATTATGAGCCAGTGAAAATAAAATGTATAGTATTTTAACAAGTTCAAGTTCTTTTATTTTGATTTATTACTTAAAAAGAAGCATTGTGATACCAATTGATAGTGTGGAATGGACACGCTTACCACCTTGGTCGGGTACAAAGCTCACCCAAATATCTTCCGACTCCACACTGAAAAGACTTTCGGACACGTTTCCCGGGGCTTCTGTTCCCTGTGGTAACATATTAAGTAAAGTACAGTAGAATTTTTTGTGAACAAATTACTGTACATTGTACAATTTCGCTTGTGTGGTTCTTGTATCGTCATTCTGAGACATGAAAGATATTATAAACTGTTAATTTGATGCCTTTAGCTCCTTTGTAAGGTGAGCTGAGCTTAGCTATATGAATACTTGAAACACATCGATACACTAAGAATATTGATGTATGCGTTTTAGTCAAGAGACTACATACAGAATCTAGGGGTAATAGAGTAACCTTAATATTTCCATTTAATATTATTACTTAAAGTTGTGTAGGTATATAATGACAAAGTTTATTATTAGTTTCAATGTATTTCCTATATATCATAAAATCGCTAATACGTTTGCTTAATAAACATTATATGTTAAAATAATTTATTAGGCCAGATATGTGAGTCTACCTTAATGTTCCTAATTAGAATTCCGTGCATACTAATGTCTCTGTGTTGTTTCGAACACTGTAATGCGGATCAAGTAAATATTAATTACTTCTGATAGTTGTAATCAATGTACTTTATACAAACAGCTTATGAATTTGCTTAGATTGGCTTCTAATTCTTGATTTAATAAGTCAAAGAAAAATGGACCAGTTTTCTCATGATTTAACAGTAGCCCTTATGGAAGAAACCTCACTGTTGGAGCGGGCTCGTGTAAGTAGGTGGGGTCAACGTAGAAGGACTCTCTCTACAGGAAATTTGCGTAAGTCAAGCTGGAAGAAGAAAATAAAAAATATGAACGAAAATAAATAATTTAAAACAAAATTTTCTGATCAAGTCTTTGCCTAAGCATTTGTTTCTATTTGTAGCATGCGCACCACAGCCTACAGAAAAAGAAGACTCTTCTAGTAGTCCAAGTAACGCACGAAAAACCACAAATGTTGATGGATTAGATGTAAAAAACATTAAGCTTCTTACAATGAGTGATTCTGATGATAAAGAAATAAATATTCAAAGTAGATCACCTCTTAAGACATCACATCGATTAGGTACCCTAGAATCTGATTCATTAAATGAAACTTTCAGTCCTGCAAGGTAAGCTATAAGAATCGTATGTGTATATGTATGTAAGTGATCTGTAATAATACTAGATATTATATAGATTCTTTAAACCCAGCGCCAGAAGGAAACGGAAATATAAACGCATGTCAATGGAATGTGATATAGGTATTGTCACATCTCTTCAAAACCAGGATATAAAAGTCAATTCAGTATCATCTATTAATGCTGCTGTGGGAGGGTCCGGAACCATGAGAAAGCGAGTGCTAAAGCCTGATGCCAGCAATAGAAATAATTTGTTTTTCTGCGGAAAGCGTAAACGCTCAAACCGTGACCGGTATCATGATTACGACCAAACAAAATCGCATTCAACTAGCATGCCCCGTTTTGCTTATATTGAAAATAATGGAATACGTCCTCGTAGTTATTCCTCTACATCGAAACCGAATAGTGACCGTTTGTTGCCTTTAAATAAAGGACTACTTTATAAAATTGAAAAAATATCACAATTGCAAAAGACTGATAGTAAACAAGAATTGCTTACTTCGAATTCAAATATTTCTGAAACAAACATTTCACCTACGACATCAGCCCAACAAGAATTTAAAAGTCTTCGAAAAAAACGTAGTCAGTTTCGACGCTCTCAACTCCAACAATTACAGTTTACAGTTGATCAATATCCAATGGATTGTGGTAATATGGATGACTTTTTAAGTTCTAGTTCCTTAAGTTCTTCCGATTCTGAGGATGCACAAAGCGCCAACGACACCGATCGCGAAGGAGATGATGAACTGACAGATTGGCCTGGTAATGAATGTACAAGCGGTCCTACTGACATTAAAAACGATACAAAGCGAAAACTCACGAAGAAAAGTAATAATTCCCTCGCAAAATCTGATGAAAGTAGTTTTGCTGCTACAATGGGTGAAGATGACACTATGATGCTAGGTAGCGAAGATTGGTCCCCAAACATTTCCAATGATAATATAGAACTGCGTTATCAACCGTCAGAACCAATTGCAATTGCGAACAAAAGCAATGATTTGGAACGAACTACTTGTGATGAAAGTTTTACGCCTTTTAAACAAATTGAAAGCGAAATGTCGGGTGAGACATCAAACACTTTTCTTAGCTCTCCACCAACAAATTTGAAAGGAATAAGAGAAATACGCGCAGGTTGCCGACGAATAAAGGACGAAAGACCGGGATTTAGCATCAAAACAAGTGTCAATGAACGCCTTGCGCGCTTCCTGCAAGACCCAAGACAGACACAAATCCGTTTACCTGATATAGAGATTTATGAGCATGATAGTTTACTTAATTTAGCAACTTTATATTCGTTACAAATTTCTTTAGGCAATGGCTGTGCAGTGCTTAATAAAACCAGGTAATTTTTAAATACTTATTCAAAAACATTATATCCAAAAATTTATATTATATGAAATAGCAACACCACGCAATCAGTTAATATTGATCAAAATAGCTTGCAGAACTGTCTGCTTAGCGATTTTAAACGGCGGTGTTATGGCAACAATGGTGATAGCATACCAAGGAAATAGTAGGAATATGATTATGGTATCGGATATGACATTCTACTTTTGTTTAAAGATTGGATTCTTTAATGATGACCATATAACAAACACTGTCATTATACATACAATATGTATATGATTTTCTTATAAGAAAAAAACTTTCTTAGAAAATAAATAAAATAATAAATTGTTTCCAACGAGTTAAAAGTGTGAAATAATAAATGCTAAAATATTAATAAATTAACATTGTTTATATTACTGACGAAATAATTTGTAAGTTATTAACAGCGGGTTCACGTGTATATATTACAAACAATTTCCAAATGTATAGCTGTATATTTTTTTATTAATGCTATAAGGTACTCAAAATATAAATTTTCGTCTTCCTAGCACAATTGCAACCAGCACGACACCCTTCGAAGCTCCGATCCCGGGTATCTCCTAATCAGGGATTTAAATGCGGAGACTCGTAGAGTAGTCAACAACCATAAGCGGTAAAAGTGGGAGGAACACTTAAGGACCTGCAACCTCTTCTCTTGGGCAACCAAGCTCTGGGCTACAGTCAAGTCGCTGTCTAACCCGACGAGACGGGATGACCGGGTGGAAATTTTCTTTTATTGCGGCGGTTGTTGTTGTTGTTGTTGTAACCGCAAGTACTTTTTGGGGAATATTGCGGGAGTGACAGTCCTTGGCCGAATAAAAATCCGGGTCGTTCCGGTATAAAGACCCGACTGTCGCGGGAACTATTGGATTTTAGTCGCCTCTTACGACAGGCATGCCTTACCGCGGGTAAATTCTTGAGCCCCTAACCCGCAGGGGCGGCGGTTCGCTAACCCTGCTTAAGTACAGGTTTGATCAATCTATGTCGCCAATGTCATCTAGTGGGAGGCCCAGGAAATGTGCTGTTCCGGCGGGTTTGGACTAGAGGGAGAGGAGGGTTGAATGACCGACTCCTGGTGAATGGCGTTCAGTGTCTGTTGTACTCCGTCCTGTCCAGTGGTTGTTGTATATGTTGTTGGATAGTGTCCTTCATGTCAAGTACTCCCTAGGTTATGGTTGAGCTTCAATAAAGTGTCATTTTGGGGTGTTCCCTACGGTAGCATCCCCATAGAAATTGCTTGCACAGCAAAGCAGTATGCTCTTTAACTAGATGGTTCAATGTGCAAGCCATGCTGCGGCGACATCAAGAGGTTCTCTGTCGAGGTCCTGGCGGCGGTGTTGTGGCAAGTCTATAGCTTCTTCATCTGCGTCTCGTTCGTCTCCCGCGCCCAGATCGATGCAGCATAGCTTACGACCGGCCGGAGGTGGGAGTAACCAGCAAAGTTTCTTCGTCTGTAGCCCATGACCTACCTTTACAACCCCGGCGGTAATGAGAATACCTCAATGTGCGTTAGTAGCAATGAATGGTTGACGGTGTCAAAAGCTTTTGACAAATCCAGTGCTACTAGGACAGTTCGCGCGCAGGTTCAATTTTGGTTAAGGCTATTGACTATCTGAGTGTTTTTAGCGATTAGCGTTGTTTTGGTACCGTACATTTTGCGGAGCCATGCTGATGTGCTGCTGGACGCAGATGGTGAGTGAAAGTCGAGAGCAGCAAGGCCTCAAATGACTTCGATATTGGGGATAGAAGAGTTATCGGCCGATAAGACTCTCCTTTGTTGGCTTGTTGCCACTGTTAGTAGCGGGACCGCCCTGTCCATTTTCCACACGTCAGATATCATGAGAAATCAAGCCCGGCGCAGGTGATGGTAGTTTGCGCATACGGCGGGTTACATGTCACTTCGTTTTGTCGGGTTCGGGTCCGATGAGGTGCGACCACCGAATGAAATTTCCACCCGGTCATCACGCCTCGTCGGTTAAGTTAGTTGCCCCAGAGAAGAGATTTCACGTCCTTAAGTGCTTCTCCCACTTCTTCCGCTTGTGGTTGTACCCTACTCTGCGGATTTCCGCGATACGGCCGATCAAGATGAAGAGGGCGGTATCGGTCAATATGACCCTGCGGAAGTAACCTTCACCAGTAATGACGTCTGATGGAGTGGGGAAAGCACTGCAGGCGTTCTCGGTGACTTTGGTAAATCCGGACCAGTTAGCTTATTTAAAGTTAACAAATGTACAAGTTGACAGGCTAGAATGCCAAAGATCGTGATGCGCCCAAAACCAAACGGTTTACGCATCAGAGTAACGCACCTATATCCGGGCTATGTTCAATTGGGTAACTTGTAACAGGAGGAATATATATATATTATTATATATCACGAGCCCGACTTCGTTGTTGTGCAGGATGAACGCTGAAGTCGCCACCATGGTCTCGCTCGTGATTCTTGAGGATTATGTTTCTTCGATAGTTTCCTGGACTGCAGCAATTGACAGGTGCTCCCGGCGTGATAAGGAGGTGTAGTGTGTTGTTGTAGATAAAAGCGGTGACAGTCTAGTATAGTCCTTTGCAATTGAATTGAAGGAGGCGATTTTGTCTCGGGGAACGTCCGTGATACGGGAGTGATGCGTGGATGGAGTAAACTGCTGCTGTAATACCCGCTGAGGTTGATGCCGCTCGTTTGTGTTGGTTGGCGGTAGAGTTGTTGAAACAGGCGGGGGCAGACTCCTACAGCACGGGTTAAGATACAAATCACTCTACTCACGGGTGGTGCGTGGGCCAGAGCTCGTCCGAGAATGACAACAACCAGAGCAAGAGTTGCATCTGACTGAGGTTATGTTCCGACGCACGCGGTCATAAGATGACTTCAACCATTGCACTGGTTGCACCTAACCGAGGTGGAGGAGTGGTGGAGTATTTTCTAACACACGCAGCAGAAATATTTCGCCGGGCCAGGGTTGGTTTCAACGTCGGCCTGTTAAGAAGGATTTGGAAGAACCCAGCTGCGAGGTGTTGCTCCGTTGGCGAACTTAAATTAGTGTTACCTTTTGACCTAATTGAGGTTAGGTCGCCGAAACGGTGACAGCCTACTGTCATGAGAGTTGATAGAAATTGTTTGCTCTTTTAAGATACAAAATCATCAAGTGTTTTACCTGAGTAAAAAGAAATCAATAACAATTTAAGAATATCAAAAAAAGTTAATTTAACTTGCTAAATAACTTTTGAGACAAGTCTTCCTCCGTCGGGTCATAGCGATTTCTAAAATCTGAGATTATGATCCTGTTGAAGTTGGCAATCATTTCTTCTTAGTTGGTTATAAGCTTCATCATCAAGAAGTGATTGAATGCTTTAGAAATTCTGGCATCAATTTTTTGTTATTCTTTTAACATCTTCAAGAGCATAAATCTTGGTTAGGTTAAATTAGTTGCTTTTAGAAGACACGCAAGGAGGGTGTTAGTGTCGTGTAGGGTCTCTTTGCATGTAGGGCATACATTGGGACAGACAGATCTCAATTAAATCAGTATTATTCGGGCTGCTAAGAAATTTTGGGGTATTAATTTTTTCATACCATATTGAGTTTGAGCCGGGCAGCTAATGATTTCCCTGATTGTACTTGCAAATGTCGTAAAGTGAGTGAAGAAGTGGGAAAGAGCGGGGAGAAAGCAGTTTACTTTCGAATATAAGCTACCGATATCCTGGCCAAACGACAATGTCGAAACGTCATCAGCATATGAGATCAAGGAAACATTCAGGTTGAGTAGGTAGCTCCGAAGTGTAAAAATTGAACAGAAGCGGGGAGAGGACAAACCCGTGGAGAACCCCTTTGACAATTTTACGGAGTCTAAAAGCTTGACTTCGAAACTCTACTGTTGGCTGTCGACCGCTCAGGTAGTTCATAGTACACCTGTTTTAATTCGGTAATGAGGAGTCGTCAAAGTCCGATTACAGCTACCAGTACCACCTGACGTGTGGAAAACGGGCAAGGTGGTCCCGCTACTCAAGCCGGGGAAACCATCCAACAAAGGAGAATCTTATCGGCCGCTAACTCTCCTTTCCGCAGCAGCTAAGTTACATAAGGCTTTGCTGCTCCCGACTTTCACTCACCATCTGCGTTCAGCAGCATGGTTTCCGCAAAATGCACAGTACCACAACAGCATTAAAAGCGATAAACACTCAGATAGTCAATAGCCTTAACCAAAGTCGACCCTGCGCGCTTTAACTCAACTTTTTAATATCTTTCTCAAACAAGGTGTGTTCCCTACAATATGGAGGCAGTCTTTTATAGTACACTTACATAAGAGTGGTTAGAGGTCTAATAAAGAGAATTTTAGAGTTATTGCAAAAAATATCTCCTAAACCAAAGCTTTATGAGGCAATTATTACTACCCTGCAAGAAGGCCTCCGATCATTTGAGCCAACATAAGTCAGGAATGCATGACGACATATTCCGTCAGCGCGTAGAACGATTTTCCTATCACTTTCTTAAGGCTGCAACTACCCAACTCACTCTCCAGCCGTCCATAACTGACGACGTTAGTAGTGAAATACATACACGAGCTATCGACGCCGCTGAGAGCGGAGAAATGTTGCCAGCTGCCTGTGTGTTTGCACACTTTTGAACAAATTCATAATTTTCGTCAACGAATTTCATAATTTATTTGCTTTAACATAAACACAAGGCAAATATACATGATCTATATAGTAACAAATAATTAGTTAAGCATTTAGTTTTCATTTCTTTTGAACAAAACTACGCATTATCTTCGATTATTTAATGTTACTTTAAGAAAGGCTATACTGGCAACCTTGTATAGCAACAAAAAATGAGCCGAGCCGGTTTTACGGAAAAATCAAAACTTCGTTGGTTTCTGCGACACAAACGTCAGCAACGCTATGGTAAATCGGTGACAACTTTGTGTTTACATGGCGCTCTCATAAGATAGGTTACTATGGACGGCTGGTACGCGCGTTGGGTAGTTGCAGCAAACACACAGGCAGCTGGCAACATTTCTCAGCTCTCAGCGACGTCGATAAGTCGTGTGTTTATCTCGCCTCGACGTCGCCACTTATGGACGGCTGGTACGCGCGTTGGGTAGTTGCAGCCTAAGGCTGAAATGACAAACGTGATGTTTACATTTGTATACGTGTACGTCATTCTCTCTTCGTTTCCTTGTGAATTTTTGTCATTCTTGTCGGGCAAACCGAACACAGCTGAGCGGCAGCTTTGATACCAAAAGAAAATAACATGGACATAGAAAAACAGCAGCAGTGATGTCGAAGGAAAACAGCTTTGAAAAAAATTTCCATACATATATACTTACATACGCTTTGAAAAAATTTTCAATACATATATACATACATACAAAAATTATTAAGATCCAGTCTTTATTGCAATATTTAACATAAATCAAGTGCATGGTTAACATAGCATACAAAAGAAATAACAATACAACAATAAATTCGGTACAAAAATCAGCAAAATATTATAAGCAAAACCGCATATACGGAAGAAGTCTTCAATAGTGACGCAAATCCTCAGCTCCACGAACGCCTCCGTCATAATTTCAGCCCTTTTGAAGTATAAAGACATCTAAGTGGAAACAAATAACGTGTCAATAATAATGTTATTAATGTCTAAATACAGTTGAACCTTGCACAGGTTTATTGAATATATTTAAATCTGCTACTGCAGCAAGATGAGAAGCATCCATTACAGTCAAACTGCTCCATTAGCTGATCTTTCCATACGACATGTAAAAAAAAGCAATGAAAATTTAAGTACTTAAGAGAAGCCGATAACTAGTACATTCTAGAACGATAAAACGAGAACCTTCGATAGCGAACAACTCGATTATTCTACACTTTCGTCTACGAGCAGCCGATTGCTATATAAGGGCGGCACTCAGCTGCCAAGAAGTCAGTTACAAAGTGAACTCGTTTGCGACAACATAGAGTATAGCAGAATAAACTATTTGAGTCGTAAAATAAACGTGTTGGGAATTACATTTAAGTAGAGTAAATTGTCAAAGTTTATGCAAGTGATTGTAGCTAGTAAAGTGCCTTGTAGTTGAATTGTGAATTACTGAGTAAATAAAGGACATTAGATTAATTCTTTATAACGAAAGAAACTGCAAATTAAGTTGGCGAGTTTGTATTTAACAATCCAGAGATCGTACCCGAAGGATTCAGAAAATCATTGAGGTTGATTTAGAAAAACCGTAACAATTGGTGTCAGAAGTGGGATTGTTAAATAAATCCCAAAGGATAATATTTGCAAAATGGTAAAGATTCAGGATTTGACTATACCTCCTCTCAAGAGAGAGTTGACAAAGCGAGGATTATCGAACACTGGAAATAAGGCAGAGCTGCAATCGAGACTGCGAGAAGCAATGGAAGTTGAAGGCATCGACTTGAACCAGTACGAGTTCCATCGCGAGGATGGAGATGTATCCTTGAAGGATATTGACAAGGAAGAGGCTGACAATTCTGTGAAGGAGTTGGAATCACCATCAAGTAAGATTCAGGAAAAGGCTCCTGGGTCACCTAAGGGTATTGACATGAACATTCTATAGACTGCGATATCACAAAAGACGGATGCACAGAATGCCAACATTACATCACAAATGGTTGAGAAGAGGGAGCAGATATCATCCTTGGAAGGAACAATAGTGCAAATGCAGGAAAATCTGGTGAGGAACAATGCGGAACTTAAGGAAAGGCAAGATCTAATTGAGACCAAAGTCGACGCATTGGAAAGTCGTTTCCGGGAGTTGCAGCTAAATCGTCCAACCGCTTCAGTGGACGCTCCGAAGGTAAAAACACCATCTTTTGACGGAAAAATCCCATTTAAAGTCTTTAAGCTCCAATTTGAGGAGACAGCTGAAACAAACAACTGGAGCATAGAGCAAAAATCCGCTGCACTATTCGTTGCGTTGGAAGGACCTGCAGCCGAACTGTTGCAAACCATATC